TTTTCTTTAAACGCGACCATTTACAAATAAGGTTCGATATTTTATTCAATAATATTGTACAATCACGTACAAAATACTCGTACAACGTGTAAACTATGATAATAAAATTTATACATTGGTTGCCCGAAGTTTAGTAGTAGGTGATACTTAACGTACGTAACAATTTGAAATGGAAAAGTTTTCATACAATACGGGTGTAATTCGAGTGTGTTACACTGGCATACCCGCATTCGTAAATTTTGTACTTTGACTAAATCGAAAATTTATAGAGTTAAATAATTTAGGGGATACACGGTGTATCGCTAACCCGTCAAAAATAAAAAAGAATTCTCGTAAATACTCGCAAAAAGCAATGGAATCGGTTTTGGAACATTGGGGGAGGGGGCGGAATCCTATAGGAACACACTTACAAAGACAGTACACAAATCGACAATCGAAAAGTCCAAAAGAAAGAGCTGGAAAAAGGTGTGTGGAGAATTACACAACGGCTAGCTACCCTAAGCCTAGTGGGGGGGGACTTGTACGTTCATTGAAAAACGAAACCGGCCAAACAATACTCGCTGTTGCCAGACGAATACCAACACAAACGATAATCACGCTAGACGTTATCACATTTGTTGAGCACACACGATTTACTGGGTTCTTTTGTATTTGTAAAAGACAACAGCTACACGAAGTACGGAGCAAACGCGTGATCCGTGCTGTGAATGGCGGCAGCAGCTAACGAGGAAAGTAATGTCGCCCAGTGGCAAACACGGACAACAAAACGTTTTTGGCGGTTTTAAGGCTTTCAAGCCGTGACGAAATATTTCCTGCATTTTTACGATTGGGGGCTATATGTAATTGCATGTCGCACGTCTGCAACGTACTCCGGAGCGTGCCTAATCTACGGTTATCGACCCGTACGCTGGCCAACGGGGTCGGGGCAGGCCCGCATTTAGGGGGGGGGCATTGGGGGCATTTGCCCCGGGCGGCAAATTTTGAAGGGTGGCAAAAATCTTAATAGGTATACAATTTTTAAAAATTAATTATTTTTATTTAATTTTAAATTTTTTCAAACAGAACAATTTATTTTTATGAAACAAAAATATCTATTTCTAAAAAAAAATATTACTTTATTATTTTCTAATTTAAAACGTGTACAAAGATATAAATGTAAAAGAAGATATATCAAAGCTGTATAACAACATATACTACAGTTAGTAGTTAGATAATAGTATTGATTATACATAGTAATTTTTATAATCAACAGCACTATAAATAAAGTAGGCGGCAATTTATTTGATTCATGTGTTTATCTAATTTTAACAAAGTATTGATATTTTCTCCCTTAAACTGGTTTTATGGATGTCGTCGGCCGTTGATAGTCGATTATTATTGGAATACTAAGAAAGTTAAAACACAATAATTTGTCTCATTTTTCACAAAATTACTATCTAATAATGTCACACTAATAATGTGTTGTGTACAGACAGCTCATTGTGTTTAGTACTCGACTACAAGTGACCGAGTTAATATGTTGAGGTGTTTTTTTTTATTTGTATATTTTATTATTTATTAACGTATTAAAATGAGTGATGGCAGAAAACGTTTAAGTGGAAGTGCTTATAAAAAAGTTGCTAAATTAAAATTAGAAAAAGAACAAAAAGTCATTTCTCAAACTGCAAAATTAACTTCATTTTTTGGCAATCTATCTCCAATTCGCCAAGTGAAATAGAGACTACAGCTGAACAGATTTTAAATGAGTCTAGTGATAAAAAGTAATTTAAAAATCAAATGTTAACTTTTGTACGTTATTTCAGTTTTATATAAATGAAAAATTTTATAATTTTTTAGTGAACATCCTCTACATAGTACTTTTGAAACCATGGCAAATGAAAATCAATTAATTGAATATTCGGAATTATTAAATACGCCAACTAAAAAACCCAATCCAACACTTTTGGGGGGCGGCAAAATTAAGTGCACCGGGCGGCAAAATTCCTAAATGCGACCCTGGGTCGGGGTGTTGCTTATACCTAAACTCGACCGTGCTAACTACTACCATGAAGCAAAATCCTACAGACCGATAACAATCTGTTCGTTTCCTTTTAAGACTATGGATCTTTTATTCTATTTTATTCTATGGACTATTATCGATAGGTACGTATAGTAGGGGGGGCCTTTCAAGGAAAACCCCCTACATTCAAAACCCGTACTCGAACCAAGCAGAAAAATCTACTCGCACGGCTCAATAACAACACAACCGAATGCTGGGAACGCTGTAGAGGATGAAATTAGGTAGGCATCGTTCGTGGACATCGAAGAGGCTTTTGACAATACACCCTTTGATGGTATCGGCGAACCCGGACAACGGCATGGAGTAACTCGGCTCGTTTTCAAGCCAATAGAAACTACGCTCGAGAAACGTTCCGTTTCGGGACGACTCGATGATTAGAGCCGAGCGATTCGGACGCTGTTCGACGAGGAAAGACAAGAAAGTGTTCTCTGTGGCGTCTAGATTTATCGTAACTCGTTATACGGAATTAAAAAAAATATTTTATACGCAAACCTACTGGGAACGCGACTCGGCTACGGTGTGGTGGTAGCGGGTCGATTCCGCAAAACAATTATAGACCGGGCCGGCAGAGACTGAACGCGCTATACGCGTGCGGCCTAGCCCCGTCAGTCCAAACAAAGCAGAGGCGCAAATGTTTACCGCCGGGAGAATTGAAACAGGAATTGACGGTTTTGGCGCGTTTAGCCTTGTCAACGAAAAATTGGCTCTTCGTCAAAGGCGAAATAACAATACTCGGGTATTATTCTGGACGGTGAGCCGAGACGGTTGGGCGTATCGCATATCGACGAAACGATAGTTTCATAAAGCCACGGCTACGTCGTGAACACGCAGCACGATTCTGGGAAAATCCTGCGGCCTTATTAAACCGAGAGTCGCGTGTTGGCTATACGCTTTAGTGATTATAAACATCTGTGGTTTTGTCGGTGCCTCGGTCTGGAAGACCAGAACGACATTTATTACGGCCAGAAGAGAACTTGTACGCGTTCGAAGAAACGCTGCTGTTGTCGGACCGATAAGAACCGCCGCCGTACCAACGATGTCGCCGAGAGGGAACTAATCGAACCAGTCCCTTTTAGATGTACGGGTTAATAAAACTCACGCCAAAGCCACAGTACGCGCAATGACAATACCAGTAGGCGGCGTCCAGAACCTGCCGCCAATATTCAAGAAAAGAAACGTAACAATCCTCCAAGCGATATTCAAGCTGCTCCGAAGACGCTTAGTAATACAACTGTGCGACGACTTCAAGGCTAGTCGTCGAATACACGAGGAAACTTTAGAATCGTAGTAGCCAGGTTCAATAAATAGGTTACACGAGCACGGTTACCAAACACGGCTGTGTGACCGGTGTAATAAAAGGGCAAACTTTCTAGCGCGGAAAATTCAGAAAATATCTGTTGAGCCGGCCGGAACCCCGGTGGTAGGGGGCACTGACGGATCGATACACAAAAAAGCGGCGGCGGCGTAGAGAACAACACGGGCAAATACGGAGCTACTACGTGGTGGCATCCGGATAGTCAAAAATGATTTTCGTGACTCGGCGGAGTTTACTAACTACTGTGCGGCGGGGGACTCGATAACGCGACTAGCCCAACAAATACGCACTCCGACCGGGCTACTGTTATAGGGGAGACGGTTATCTGCTCAAACGTCTTTGTTTGTACAATGGGCATGACGACGGAATGACTACCGCGCTAGAAATATGGGACGGGAAAGCAAGATTCGTTTCAAACGGTACGCGTGAACGTCCGATACCCCGCCGGCGACATTATAGCAGCAAAATTAAAAAAACTCTCTAAAACTATTTTTATTTAGAAAAAAAAATATCGTTTCTCCATCACCGCCGTTTAATGTAATCGACGAGAGCAGTAATATCGTTATTAAAAAAATTATTTTACACAGATTCAATGGCGTCGACAAGAAGTTATCCGGACACTTTTAATATATACCAAAACAAAATTATGCAGTTGTGGTTTCGTGGAAATAATTTGTTTTATTTTTCCAATTTAAATGATAATAGCGATACTAAATTTATTTGTTTAGTAAAAGGTCAAACATAGTGAAAAACTTTGAAGAAAATATATAAAAAGGTTTTCAATAAAACATAAGTGTTCAATATGTATAATACTTGTACAAAAATAATTTTATTTTCTAAATTGTACTATTAACGGTCGAACGAATAAAATTATTTAACTATATATGAACATTGAACAGATTTAATTCGGTCAAAGTCTAAAGTGCGGTGGAACAATGTTACGCCGGTACGCAGAGAAAAAAAATTATTTTCTCGGGGTAAGGGAGAGGTCGTACGAAAATTAATTTCGTTTATAAAAAATTGTACGTAATACCGCCGAATATTTATTTTCAAATTTCTAATATGAGGGTTGGTGCCGGTGGGGTGTAATGCACCCGTGCAATTGCTTTTGTGAGGAAATCATTAGTTCGTTTGTGTAGATTCCGCTAAAAGAGTTATGTGCTGTTATAAATATACGAGTAAACTCGACCCAAATCGTAGGGACGAATCTGAATGAAATGATGTTTTGGATATGCGTTATTTACTGACGAGTAAACATTTATTAATATTAACGTATAAATATTCATAGGCCAAAAATAAACGTTTGGTTACTCTAGAACAAAATAATTCGCACGTTATACATTTACTCGAACCGATATATAGTTGGCGATTTCGTCCAATTTTTATCCTACTCGGCGGCAGCAGTAGTTTACATACGAATCCAAGACGTTTTCGTTATTTTTTAAATTACATGTTGTTGTGAATATCTCGTAAAAAAAAAAAAAAAAATTCCGGTACTATATTATCGTACAACACGCTTACTCGATTAGATTCGCTTACTCGGGGGCATCATAACAACGTGTTGCTACTTGCCAATTTTTTTTTTTATTATAAATGAAATTAAAAAACGTATATTTTTTTAGCGGTGTCGTCAATGGTGACAAGTTATCTAAAACGGATTCGAATTGCTCGACTCACAAAAACGAACAAACAACAATAACACCTATATTAATAAATAAACCGATAAAAACAACAAAATCCAAGATTTGCGGTCACTGCAAATGTCATACGTCAAATGCGCACAATTGTTGTACGTATGTTTTCTCTATAACGTTATTATCGAATTACTCGTGCAATAATTTTAGATCGTTAAAAATTATTTCCGAATAAGGCTGTTGTCGGAACGGAACGAAACAAACGAGGTACGTCAGTTGATGTTTTTAATTTTTTTTTTTTTTTACCGCCGGCATGATTGTGGGCCGCCCTGGAACTGCCGTTAGGCATTACACTTCAGGGCGGTGATATTTTTAATTTATATTCCCGAAACCCAATTCGTTCGCGATTATTATTGTAATTTCAATTTTCATGTTATTATAGTCGTGTAACGGTGATAATAATTACCATGCGCATTACCTGCGTTATAGTCGGGCCCGGTCAGCGAGTAGATATCAATCGGGGCGTTTATCTCGACTTGATTTTTACTTTTTTTGCTGCATACTTTTTTTTTATACCTTTTTATAAAAAATAAATATTATGTTTTAAAATTTGTGTATAATTAAATATAATTTTTTGTTTAAAAAGACCACCGTATTAAAGGTGAAAATACTGTTATTTACGTCGTTATTATCAAAAAAATTGATATCACATACACGACATACAATCCCGTATATGATGTATCACATCATCCCATACATCATACGGTCGTAATAAAATTTTAAAAAATAAATATTACAAAAATAACTTTGAATTAATATCGTCTGCATCGAGCTAACCGTTTATTATCAGTGCTGGATCTATATTTTAAGACGTAAGGGTGTAGTTTGTAGCCAACTATAAAACGAGACCTTTTTTTGAAAATTATACACAACTAAAAGCTTAAAAAAATCATGAAAAAAAAAAAAAAAATGAGACTCCGAAGTTCTAAAAATCTCGAGTTTGGTAAATCCAGCAGTTTATTTTGAGGTTGATTAGATTATCGATTACTGTAACTTTTTTTTTCAATAAATCGAATCCCCAATGATTCCATATGATTATATCGAAAAAATAAAAAATCGATAATTTAAACATTATTTTAAAAATACATCATTAGATTTAATCGTTTTTCAATAGCAGCAATACAAAACAAAAACTTTATTATTACTATATTTAAGTTTTTACGAATCAAAGTTTATACTATATAAACTTTATTAAATGTATAATAGATTACCGATTCGTTAGTAACGACTCAAAAATAGTTAGCTTTCAAAATGATTAGATAAAAAAAAAAAATGTTATATAATCTAATTGTATAAAAAAATTCTAATGATAAAATTAAACCTTATGATGATAAATTTTCGACGATTTTATCGATTCGATTTTTTTTTTTTGTTATTTAAAAATTTTGTTTTCTGACGGTTACAACAGTAATTAGTTAATTAAATATATAAGGAAGAAATTTTTATATTTTTAAAATTAGAGGACGGCGTCTACAAAAAATACAAATCCTCATAAAACTGTACGTCTGATCACTCTACAGGTATTTTTTTTTTTAATTTTAAGCGCCAAAAAAAAACAAACCGTCTTATCAAAATGTATATCGGTGCAATATTAAAAACGAGATTATCGATTTTGTTTTAAAGACGAAAATAAAAAAAAAAAACCCAACAAAAAACCTGCACTAAAATTTAAATTTTAATTATTCAATATTTAAGGGAATTTCAAATATCCCAACATAGTAAAATTATAGAATCGAAAACCAATAAATTAAAAAAATATTTTTACATATCAAACGTACAAATATAGTTGTGCACACGATTTTATTGGATTATGTGTGACGCCGTTAATAATCACCGAGATAAGTTTAAATTGAAAAAAAAACTCGAAAAGTTTTAAATAAATATTGAATTGAAAAAAAATTATTTTACTTAAAAAAATTCGATATTTATTTAAAACTTTTCTAGTGAAATATTTTTTTTTCTTTTGTAGTGATGAGCGTTCTTCAGAGTCTGAAGATGATAATTTAAAACAATGTAATAACTGCGGAGAAAAACCAAAACAATCGAATCCGAAGATTAGAGCTAAGCTAAAATTAGGTCTACATTACTGTAAATTTGGAACATGTTGATGTTGTGTACTATATGAAACTCAGAAATAATTAGTAGGGCTGTTAATTTTTCAAGATAATTCTAAAATATTAAGTAGACAGAAAAAAGTTTTACGCATTTCTTTTTAGATTTCATGTTTAATACGACTACTAATATTTATTATTTAACTAAGAGATATAATTGTATTTTGTGTACGTATAATTTAATAATAATTAGTCGTTTCGAGAAACTAAAAGTTAATAAAAAATTTAAATACTTTTTTTTAATTCTAAACGCTTGATGTGTCATCGTATTATTTACTGCTAAAATATTAGCGTCAACCACCTACTAATTAACATATATTGTGTTAAAACTAATAAAATAACAAGAATAATTATCATACATACTTTGTTCTTTATTAAAACGTTCCCTTTATTTTATGGAAACAAAAAATCATCGTTTATACAATATGTAATTTCGTATCTGTCAAATAATTATTTTTCGATATCGTGTGTTCTATTCGAGTGATAAAATATATGTTAATTATGTACATATATACGCTATATGTTAATTTCTTAATAACGATTTAACGTAGGCTTCGTGTATTTTTAACATAAATTCCGGATCGTTTTTTAATAGATAATCAAAAGCTTGCAGTAACTGATTTTTAGTTAAAGGTTCTAGTTTGGACGCTAAAGGTTTAGATTCGTCGAGCGCCACTGCACTGACCGAAGACGTTACGAGTTCGTCTTCAAAATCTTCCATAATAAATCTAGTAGGTGGCATTAAATCTTCAGATTCTACTTGCGATTCCACTTCTTTACTCATGGTAGAAACCGAATCTGCAACAAAACAGTTAAATAGTAAAATACTTAATTCAATATAATTATTTCAAATCTATCAAACCATAAAAATGTTTTTAAACACTAATTACACTTTATACGCACTTATGGAATTAACGTCTAATATATAATAGATGATAATATACTATAAAAGAGGAAGAAATTACCAATTCAACCCAACCGTATGCATTTTAGTCGACAAATAACTATATAATAGAAAATCATATTGTATATAATAATATTAGTTAAACAGAATAAATTTTTCTATATAATTATATATATATTAATATAATTATATATTATATATATTATATATTATATATATATAATATTATTATATATATATATAATTCTTATATATATTTATATATTAAGATTTTTAACTTCAACTCATAATGAAACAACAACATGCATCATTAATAATGTAATTCTTATAAAATAAAATTAATTTATAGTATGATTAAAAATGATGTGTTCTCTGTAAAACACTCTTGACATATATGTATATACAACTACAATATAAAACTATACTTTAACAATAATATAATTTTGTTATATTATTGACAAAGTTGGCTCTTATAATTATTAAATATTTTTAAATTCATCTCTTATACTTTATAAAGATGGCAATATTATTTTTTAAATGGCAAACTACACGATTAACTAGTTTATAAAATGAAAAATGATCTTATAAGATAATGAATGGTTAATAACTAATAACTAAATTTTGCACTAGTACTTTGCAAGTTATTAGCTAGTTTATATGCGTTAAGATTTTATAAGCTAATTAAATATATATGTCGCTATTTAAAAAGATAAAATTGAAGCCCTTGTAAGAAATAAAAGATGAATTAAAAAATATTTAATAATTAAAAAATTAAGAAATATGTGAAATTAAAATGATCTAAAAAGAATTTTCATAACACAATTATTATTGTATGTTAATCGAGTGGCTAATTTAAAAAAAATCATTCATTTAAAGGAATTAGGAACCAATTTATATATATATATATAAAAACCAAGTAATAAAATGATTCTATATTTTTAATAGAATCTATTTTATTTATGAAAAATAGTTGTTTTTCAATAAAATTATTCACTTCTTTTAAATTTGAATAACAAAAGTGTTTTTCCACGCTATCACTACACGAGAACATGTTGTTTTGATAAATTGTTAATTCCATCTGCATTATTTTAAATTAGGTTATGATTAACATCAAAAAAAAATTTACCAAAATGATTTCAAGTTGTGCGCACTTAATGTATAATGAAATATATAAATCATTTATGTTTTATATATTTAGATGCACTATATGTTTAGATCCTAATGGTCGATCTTATGGAAGTTTTATTATATTGTGTAACTCAGGAAACCATTGTATAAACCATTTCATAAAACTGATTAAAACTAGAAAAAGTTTTAAGACGAGCAAAATTATTTACCAATTGCTATTTCAGATTTTTCAATAAAAGACTCGTTAGCATTGAGAAATTGTTCAATTAATGTTTTGTTGTATTGATTTTCTATGGATTGATGGTATCCATTACAGTGAATATGCATATCATTTTCTTCTCGACAATGAGTCATTTGATTAGATGAATGTTTAGGTTTTGTGTTGTCAATAGAACATTGATTAACCGACTGAACTCTTTCAGACACTGACAGAGCTACTGGTACATCTATGGTAGGAGTCAATGATCGTACTCGCATTTCGATTTGTTCGACTGTATGAATCGGGCTATCTATCGGTTTATGAATCGTTGTATTATCTTTGGATCCGACATTTAATGTAGAATTTTGCGAACCGGCATAACTCGACAGAGGTGGCAGTCCATCAGAAAATCTCTTTCCACTTCCCGCCTTGGCAAAAAATTCCATTACGCATTGTGGCGGAGCGTCTTCTTCGTTTTTTAGCGATGACGTACCGATTCCCTTTGAAACAATTTTATTGGCTCTAAAACAAAGAACTTTGTATACACGTGGTTATTCACTATTCACGAAATAATCAATTAAACGAAAAATAAAAATAATATTAATAATTTTTCTATTCATCGTCTCATTTATAGTTCAATGTTTCTCTCGTGTTTACGATCATTAAGTTTTTTTACGTTCTTTCTCTATACACCTTAACGAGAGCGTCCACTTTAATTTCTTAAATAGTAACATCCCCGATTGACTAGGTTATTCAATAGATATTGATATAATTAATAAAATTACTGGTCATAACAACTTTTGCGTATCAGTATTACAGAAGTTAATGACACATCAATAACTTATAATATATATATATATATATACAGGCTGGCCCACCACTCACTGGCAACTTAAATAACTTTTGATCCAGTTAATATTTTTAGTTGATTTTTTTTTTTTAAATAATAGTTATACGTCAGGTCTATAGCTATATCTCAATAATTAATTTTTTTACATTTTATTAAAAATATTAATTATTTTTAAATTTTAAATAAAATGTAAAAAAAAAATCTAAGATAGCTATTTTGTAGAGTAGAATTTAAGAAAAATTTTAGTAAAAAAATATCTTATTAATATTCAGTAGTAAATATTCTGTAGCGTTTTGAAGTTTGTGAAAATTTGAATTTTCATGTACTATTTTACGGTATTAAACATTGAAATACGTATTGAGAAAAGGACAGAAGAAAACGCTATCTTTTCAATATACTTTTGAATGAGAGTGATAAGTAATAATTGCCTTATCTAATTTCTTATCATGGTATTAATGCCAAGTTTGTAATGTATACACATTATCATCATATGTATACACAGTAATCATGAAAAGATAGCGTTTTCTTCTGTCCTTTTCTCAATACGTATTTCAATGTTTAATACCGTAAAATAGTACATGAAAATTCAAATTTTCACAAACTTCAAAACGCTACAGAATATTTACTACTGAATATTAATAAGATATTTTTTTACTAAAATTTTTCTTAAATTCTACTCTACAAAATAGCTATCTTAGATTTTTTTTTTACATTTTATTTAAAATTTAAAAATAATTAATATTTTTAATAAAATGTAAACAAATTAATTATTGAGATATAGCTATAGACCTAACGTATAACTATTATTTAAAAAAAAAATATTAACTGGATCAAAAGTTATTTAAGTTGTCAGTGAGTGGTGGGCCACCCTGTATATATATATATAGGTGGCAGGAAGAGTACAACCAGGAAATGCCAAGTTATCAAAATAGCAGCAGCATCCACTTTTCACCCACGGTCATTACTTAAAATTTTTATTGATTATAAGGTATAAAGGATGAACGCGAAAAAACTTTATGATTAAAACTACGAGAGAAATGTTGAACTAAGAGACAAATAAAAAAAATATTAATATTATTTTTATTTTTCAATTAATTAAGTAGTTTATGACAAGTGAATCGCTGTGTGTATTGAAAATTAATCGATTATAAAAGAAAAAAAACTTTAGTTTTGTTTTATAACACCTTCGAGTTAAGAAAATTACTGATCGATAACGACTTGTGAAACAGCGTTTTATGAGTTTTTTTTTTCACATACCTAAACAGGAAATAGTAACATTTCAAAATAAAAGCTGATGGTGAGGAATGGGTCAGATTACTTTTATAATAGACATTCTGCTGCTCTACTCCTTCCATCTAGGTGTAAAAATAAAAAAGTAATGTTATGAATGTGTTAAAGCTTTCATGGATGTCTTGTTGCTTGAGGATATATCCATGTTTGCAGTTGAGTCCAAAACGTCAGAACTCAACTGCAAACATGGATATATCCTCAATCTCTTGAAGCAAAAAAATAGTGGTTTAAAAGTTATTAACGATCAATCATTTTCTTTGTTGGATGTTTTTCTATAATGTGTGTATGTGCAATCAATGTAGTTGTAATTTAAACAAATATCTGTTGAAGAAGGGTAAGGCAAAGGAGTAGAACTAAATTTTTAATTAGTAATAAGTAGTTTTTAAGTATTTGAAAAGAAAAAAATGATACATTATTTTGTACTTTTGAAGATATTGAGTAAGGTACAGTTAATGAATCATCCCTTATTCTTGTAAATCCTAATATTTTTTGAAGTTTTATTATTTGACTACTTTACAATTATATCCACTTAAAAAAGCCAATCATAATATTTAAACGGCACACATTACCCATCATGAATAGTATTAATACAGAGCGGTGGTCCACAATGTTTTGTGATTATTTTTAAATAATTTTCATTTTTCAACTTTGTTAAAAGCATATTTTATATTATGTATCTATAAAAGTTTTTAATTTTTCAAAATTTTTAAAATAGCTGTTGTTTTTTTTTTTTACAAGAAAATTTCATGGATTGTTAACAACCATGAGAGTTGTTGTACACAAGAGTTATAAGCATTTATAACTCATAGTTATAAGCATTTATAGCTCATAGTTATAANTAAGCATTTATAACTCATAGTTATAAGCATTTATAACTCATAGTTATAAGCATTTATAACTCATAGTTATAAACATTTTTTTATCACATAGAATGAATAAGTATTATGGGTGAGTACAGCTTGTACAGGTGTATGTGCGCTCCACCGGCACTACCACAACCCATTCTATGTATTTAATAAATTATCTATGTAAACTGAAATTTTTTAATTTTACACTAATATGTGATGTATAATTATTCTGTAATTTTCGAAATATTACATTTTCTTGAATATAAAGCTAATTTTTAAAAATACTTTTCTATTGCCTAGTTTAGCAGCAATTATAATTTCATATTTTTTCAATTTATATAATCTCAGTGCAGAAAGAGTAACTAAAATTATTTAAATTAATATATTAAAACTGATAACACAATTTTAAATTCAAAATATTTTTAAATAAATAAAATATCTTGAAAAAAAAAAAAAAGAAAAATAATAAAAATCTATGAAATTAGCAAGAGCATAACAAGAGGAGGAGGAGGTATATATATATATATATATATATAGCCTGGAGGCACAGAAGAGCTAAAAAGTTCATCACGTCTAAAACAATAACCGTGTTGTTGAATTTAAAATTGAAAAATTACCTGTAATCTTCTTGCGCTTTGCTGAGCATTGAAACGAGATCGATATTTCTTGTAGGATTGCATTCGAGTCTGGTAGACGTATCGTTTTGTTTAGGAATCAAATGTTTTATTAACGATTTCAACATTGTAGATATTCTAGTGCATTCGTCTTTGTCATAAAACCATATACCGTAAATCGTACCGTTACCGTTTCTGTACAACAAAAACGGTACTTGAAGTTGAAGATCCAGCCCCGTTTCAATGGGTTCCGTTAAATTGTTCGTATTCAGTCTGTTCATAATCATTACGCTGTGTAAAGGTTCGGCCGATCGCGCGTAAACGTGCAATGTTCCTTCGATATTGGTTTTTTGCCACACGTTTGAATCGGCATTGAACGAATACAGAGCGACATGGCCGGCCGTTTGCACGATACGATTTGCATAAGGGTCTACTCGTTGAAGAGCAGACAAGTTCATTTTAGCTTCGGCGGAAACACCGTAATTCATTTTTAAAATTTTTATTCTTATTTATTATTTACAAAAAATGTTTTATATATAAATTATCATAGAAATCATTAAACTCTACCGTCGTGTTCGAATATAAACAAAGGAATTGCTAACTTCATACCGCTCGTTATGATTTTTTTACGTATAAATACGAAACGATTTAATGATAGTAACGGTCAAATCGTGATAAAACCGTTATGCGATGGCGGCGGACGCGTTTCGCGTAGAGACGTTAAAGCGATTTCATTGAATACGAATTGTAATTTTTTATTTTTATTATTATTATAAATAATAAAGAGAGTCGAGTTAATGGGGAAATAATAAACTTAAATTTTCAAGTTTAAAAATTGTTTCTATACCAAGTTAAATAGAAACAACGCCAATAAATTGAAAATCGACTAATAACAAACTAGTAACTCGCATGTGTTCGATTCGAATACGTTAAATTTCACGATAATTTATACGCGGCGTTAATTATACAAAACTAAATTGTAAAAATTCTCAATTTGACGGCTCATAGTCAAATAAACGCGGGATAGTTTTTTTTTCTTCTTCGATATTACACAACACTTGAAAAGTCTCAATTAAAAACAACCGTTTCACAAATATCTGCTTTTATAATTGTTGTTTTTTTTTTCTTAAATTTGTCATAAATTTATTGTATTAATATCGAAACAAATCATTTCAATAAATTCATAATAATCATTTATACGAAACTCTCGATGTGGTGTTAAATAGATGAATTCCGAAATATTCAGGACTATAATCAGTATAATTATATTATCATAGATATAACTATCATATCGTTGTATATCATCATAGTATCATATAGTCGTATACCATCATAGTTGATGTATCATAGTATCATGGTATAGTCGTATTGTATATCGTACTAATATTCAGAAACATTATTTCTGATGTGTTATTGCATTTCGTATTAGCCTAGTGGTCGGTCAACAAAGGGCGGAAAAAATTGTCGACCAAATTTTTTTTCTAAAAAAAGTCGAATTAACATACGTATAACGATTTATTTAGATATGAACGATTTATTTATTTATCGAGATTTATCGAAGACATGCTAAAAGTCCTCGTCAATCGGAATTGAGATTTTTTTTTTACAGCCTCATAAAAATTAAAACATATGAGCTTTTTTTTACAGTCTCGCAAAAATTAAAACATATGAGCTTCTTTGATATTCTCAAAAAATATTTAACTTGCAAAAAAAAGATTCGTCGTTTAAAAAAGACTGTTCTAAACAAAAAAAAGGCATCTTCTATTTTTCCGTTTAAACAAATATTTTTCGAGTTACGTTACATTTAATACGAGTACTGAAATTTATTTTCCATTTTTTAGCTTCGATGCGAAGCGGAGAAGGTATTTTTATATTAATTTTAGATATTAATTTTACTATAATGTTTTAGCTTCGATGCGAAGCTGAGAAGGTATTAATTTTACTATGATGTGTTTTTTTTTTGTGTCTGTGAACGCTCAATCTCAGCTCTCGCTGGACCGATTTTGATGAACAATATGTCAAAAGATCACAAATCGTATCTAGTCGAAGACATTACCCTCAAAAATTGAAAAAAATTCCCTCGTTCCC